CCTAAATAATCACGACAGATCAGCTACTGCTACAGTGTCAATTTTTGTTGAAACACAGGAAAAGGGCTGGTGAGATTTCAGACGAGGCAGCATTCTGCCAGCGCACCCTTACGCCGCCGGTCAGAGTGCTGCCTCTCCCAGCCTCCTCGGTTACTGCCCCAGCAATAGCTCAGTGGGAGAAGCTTCATTGGTCCCGCCAACCTCCTCCCCTTTGTGCAGGTTCCAAGGAAGTCAACGGGGGCAAACAGCAACACAAAATGTCCGCTTTCCAAACTGTGAGCAAACATGGTCATTGAGCCCTTTTACATTCCTCATTAGACGGCAGTCAAAAAGGCTGGTTTGCCAAGTTTTACAAAAGTTCACCCACTCCCAAGGACACACTGAAACGGGAGAACGTTACAATGTGTTCCATGACACACACAAAATTATTCCAATTAACAGGGATTCAAAAAGGTGAAGACAATTTCACGGGAAATGAATAAAAAATTATTTTAGCCAGTAAGCCCTTTAATTAAATTCAGCTAAAATACCAGGTAATAAGAAAATGGATTGAAGAACACTTTCCGTGTCATTTCATGGAGGTGTTTGCCATTTCATTTCCATCCTAAAGTTGCATTTTGTAAAAGTCAAATTTACAGTGTGTAAACTGTAAACATTTTTAATATTTCCAACAATGCTTTTCTAAGCTTATGACTGACTCTATGTTACAGATCTACCATCAATACTTGTTTTCCATTCATCAGGAATGAACTGCATCATTTCACAAATACTCTGTAAATATACTTTACCATCTACGTTAATCAAATGGTAAGACAGCTCATGAGCCAAGCACATTGTCATGACCAAAACCGGTTATCAAACCTTTTCTTCCCCTGTGAATTCTCCCCACAGACAGAGGAGTCAAAAATAGAGGTGGATCCTGTTAAGCAGAGGTCCTTGCACACAGTTAAGGTAAATGATATCTGATAGATGTATGGACAACTTGACATAGCCCCTGAGAATACATCACTCCGTTGCTAGCAATGGTGTGTTTAGTTCTCCACTACAGACGGATAAAGGTCAATATAACCGTAAGCAGCTATTGGAGAGGTCTCAACCTGTACTGCTGCCAACCAAAGGAAACAATTTCCAAAGTTCTAGACAATAACTGACATGGGGAAAATAAGCATTGACATTTAAACTGGATATATGACTTGCTATGTGACTCAAAGTGGAAGAGAGGTTAGTTCTTCAGTGTCTCCTGGTAGTCCAGAGTGCATCAAAGAAAAGCATCACCCTTACCATCGATGGTACCACTGTTAGCACCGCCCTCTTCACACTGACAATCAAAGGGGTTAAGTAAAGAAATGTAGAGAGCTAAATCACACTCCATACTGCCGTGACATCCTGCACATGAGAACCAGGCAGTAAAGAACAGTGGTGTAGGGCACTGTTGACAGTTCCTGTTAATCTGGGTTATATGGTTATGAAAAGTTTCTTGACCTACATCTATCATCTCCTCAAACATACCTTCAAATCTGTCCAACGCGTTCTGGAGCTCGTTCCTGTGAAGACATTGCATTAAGTTTTACATTAGGGGCCAGTGAAATATCACGTGTGCACCAGAAGAAGCCCCTTAGGCCACGTGCTTTACACACAACTTGTGCGACGTGAGTCAGAGCTGATTTTCCTTACTGGCTTTATCAGCGGGCAAAAGTTAGTTTCAACACATTACCACAAATCCCGCTCAGCTGCATCTGAAAAGGGGCTGCTTCCTCCATAGTCGTCAATTCCCGGAGTGTTTGCTGAATTGAAAGCAAAAGGACAAAGATGTTTAAGGGAGGGCGCTCGAGCAGGGTGGTAGGGGCAGAATTCCCAGGCTGTCTGCCACCAAGACGTGGAAAGCTGACGTGTGCGTGCAAGCGTTAGGTGTGGGTCACGGGAAATGAGCCTGGGCCCCCACCCTTATACATGCCCCCCCTTTATTGCCCTCTTTCAGGGTTCCAGTTACAACAAGCCCAGCACCACTGATGGGACAGGAGGAAGCAGGTGGTGTGCCCCTGCAGGAGAGCTGGGCTAGGGACCCAGACTCTGCTCTGGGGTGGGAGCCTGACCCTCTGAGGGCAAAACCCAGGGCCCCCCAATGTTTGCACATGCAGAATTCAGAGCAATGACCGGCTCAGGGCCGTCCAGTGCTCCAGCTGCCAGGACACATGACCGACCGAGCCCTGGGGTGGGCACAGACTTTGTGGTCCCCTCACCTTCCTGGGCTTTTACCTGGGTGCCCCACGTCACTGGCTGCCAAAACCTGCGCCTCCTCAGGGGCTTCGACGGCCCTCCCGACGGGACTACTTCTCACAGGCGGCATGGGCACTAGAGAGGATTGTGACCCTCGTGAGCGCAATGACACGCTACGGAAAGGGGATGGGTTGAGTGAGAGCCCGTGAGTGAGGGCGAGGCTGTCTGAGTTAACTAGAGCAGGGCTGGGCGCACTCCTGGCTCCTCTTACAAGGAGGAAGGGACCAGGAAGACGGTGCCAGTGCCCTGCCCTGCCCAGTCCTGCCCGCTTGCCCACCCCCCGTGATGGCCACAGCAGGCACCCCTGCACCCCACATCCCACTGCGGCCCCCTCTGACAGACCCCGGCACGCCCTTGAGACACAGTGCAGCCCTGGCACTCAGGACCCCAGGGACATCCTGCCTGCCGGTCAGTCAGGGGAAACGACTGTGTGGTGAGTCCGTATCCTTCCAGCCCTTGGGATGGGAAATGATCCGTTCCGCACCTGTCCGGGACTCTCAGGTGCCGCCACTGCCCCCTCGCCGTCGCGGACGCCAGGGGGACCCCAGGTGACCCCAGCGTGCAGTTCAGATGGCGGCCAGGCAGGAGGGCCATACCTGAAATGGCCCCCCTCATCCTCCCCAGATCTCCTCAGTGGGCCTTCTTCAGGGAGGAGTTGGGGACCCTCAGGCCCACCCCCGGCCCACCCTCAGGGCCTTTGCCCTGACCCGGGCCGGGCTGGATGCCACGGAAATCTCCTCAGAGATCAGCCTAGGCCCAGGCCTGCCCGGGTCCATACCCACGTCCCAGGGGTTGGGAGGACGGGGCTGTGGGGCCACAGGCCATGGGGCCACGCAGCCCCGCCAGCCCTGCCAGCCCCGCCAGCCCGGCCAGCCCCACCTCCACAAGGAGTGGCACCTCACCTGATCCACGCGGACGGCACTTCCTCACAGCACCGGGACGACCTCCGCACTAGACGTCTCAGACGCGCTCCTCGGAGGCCGGGTCTGAGCGGGAACAGCTGGCCTCACTGATTGGCCAGTACCTCGTGCATGGAGGGCGTGGCCTCACCAGGCCATGCCCCCCACGGCACCACCCTCCACCTGAGAGTCCGCCCCCTGCTGGTGGGTCCTGAGGGCCTCACCATCCCGAGAGAGGACAAGGGAGAGAGGATCCACCAGGAGGGAGAATGGCCCACTTCCCAGCACCTCGCCTCCTGGCTCCTTGTGGCCAGCCGGGAGGAGCAGCCGCCATCCTAAAGGTTTGCCTGTGTCCTCTGGGCTCGTGGGCCTGAACCCTCACCCTCCCTTTCTCCGGGGCTGTTTCTTTGATGATGTTTCATCAACTCTTTGGCCGAAGCGAAAACTGGGGAACATGCCTGGGCTCACTGTCAAAGCTACAGGCTGACGAGTGGCAGAGGTCAGAGTCAACCCCCCACCTGTCTTTCAGAAAGTCTCTCTGATTTCCAAAGGTCCCAGGAAATAGACTTCACTCTTTGCCCTCCCG